CCCCGATTAGGGCCGCGGCGGGCGAGAGCAGCCGGCCGAGCATTGGTCCGTCGGTTTGTCATTCTGTCCCGCGGCTCAGCTTCGGGGCAGGGGGAGGGAAAAGGTAGGGTGTGCAAGACTGCAAGTAGATTTAGTTATTCTCTGTTCCCTTTCTTTGGGGCCAGTCTACCCCTCGGGATCAGTCCTGGACTTCTCGGGCTCGGAGGGAACTTGTTGATAAGTGAATGTTTGGTAGCATTCACTTGGTTTATGTGCTTATTTTTTACAAAGTGACTTCTCATTTACTTTGGACCTTGTCTTCCCCTTTTGGGGGGACGCCGGCTCCGATCCTCCTGCTGACAGCTGCTGTCGGAGCTGCGGGGAAAACGGGCGCGCCCTCGGGGGTTGGGGGCGAATGGCTGTGTGCGCGCTAATTTCCTTCGTAACCTTTAAACTCTTGCTGGAAGCCGCGGCGGCTGCTGATCACGTGAGGCGAGCCCTGGGCTGCTGGGGAAGAATTTCCTCCGCTGGGAGCCGGGGACAGAGCCGGCGGCCTGGCGAGGGACTGCCCCGCGCCTGGGGACACGAACCTGGCAGGGCGGGACCGAGAGCGCTGAGGCCGGGTGCGGCCCTGGCTGGAATAATACCCTAGGGACTGCCCTGGGAAGAGATCAACTCCGCGTCTAGCGGGCTGGGGCCGAGGAGGGTGGGGGTGGGGGGCTGATGCAGATGGGAAAAGGAAACTTCGGTCATCACCCCTGTGCCAAATCCAGTCAGGGAGTTTGCAGGAATCGTGGTAAACAGTGTTTATCTGGTTTGTCTGGTTAGTGTAGACCAAGTTTAAAACTCACCTCTCCATCACCTATTCTCAGCGGAAAGTAATTATCATTGCCGGTGGCTTAAAGGTTTAAAAAGACTTAAAGCCCAGGAAAGAGGAATCCCCGATACCAAAAGTAGCACTTAGGTCTCAAAACATGACCAGAGGAGTCCCCGGGTGATCTGGCAGGTCTCCCTCTCCAGGCCTGCAACCCTTTTTCTTACTCCTGAGTTGAAATGAGATCTCCATGCCCTTCCTTGAAGGCAGAGGAAAGTGCAGTCTTAGGGAACATGGCCACCGGTGACTACAATACAAGATTATAGACCGAGTGCCCAACTTAGCCCAGCTGGAGGGATTATATTTTAAAATCTGTGTGTTTGAGGAAGCACCAGTGGGAGATTTCGTTGCTCTTTTATTTCTTGATTAAGAGAATGTTTCCTCCTTTGCTGCTTGCTTGCACACTTCAATTTTTACTAAACTCGCCCCTTCAATGGGCCTGTGAGGGAAAGTGATGGCCAATGAGGCTTGATCTGAAAATGCAGGTGAGAAGCCCTTCAGCACTAAAATGAGTCCAGGGAGATTTGACAAAGAGGCATAGTTGAAGGGGTACCAATAATCTCAGTGGTGTAAATAATATTTCCATGAACTATTTGAAAAAATCAAAAGCACTATAAAAATTCAAGATCAACATATCATCCACATTTTAGCTTCTAAATATTGTGTTTAAATGCTTGCATCACTGTTTATCAGCACCCCTTCCATTTTGCAGCCAACCACGCTGTTCATTTGCCCTCATCCTAGCCCTGGTTCTGGTGGGAGGCCTAGAAAGAAAGACAAGGAATCCCTGAAGCTATGGATCATAGAGTAACCAGTGTTATGAACCTTCTCTCTGCTCTTCTTCGGGGTGAGTCCTAGCTTGCTGTGGAGACAAAGCAGATGTGGTCCCCTTTGGTGTGCTAAACAAGATATAAATTTAGAAGTAGTAAGAACACACTGAACTTGAACTTTTAGCAAGATATAATCTCCCCCTCCCCAGGCAACACCCCCAAGTATATTTAATAGGGTCCGTTAGCATTTCCGTGACTCAATGTTCTTAAAACCAAAAACCTACAAGCTTCCAACCACTTCCTTACGAGCCAGGTAAGTTTTATGGGAAGGTAGTGTCTCCTGCTCAGTTACCCCACATGAATAACCACTGCAGTTCTCAGAGGTGATGCATACCAACGTGGCCTCTCCTTTCAATCACAAGTCTTTGCAGGAAGGGCAAGCAAAGTAGATTTGCCTATATGGGATGAATGTTTAAGTAGCCTGAGAGCATGCTCAACCTCTCCATGCACACACTGCTAGTTCTTTGCCCTGTGACATTCTTATTTCTTAAGAAAGCTCTTACCTCTCTATTCTCACATTTGGTGGAATGAAGATAACAATTCTTCCGGGGCACCAAGGAAGTGCAGATGTGCACTCCTGAGGGGAACCCAGAGGGGGTGTCTGAAACAAACCTCTGCTCCAAATTTCAAATAAAAAGAAAAACAATCCCTTGCAGGGGGAAGTTTCCAGTGTAAAATTCCAATCAATAACTAGTGCCTACTTCTTTCTTCTCTTGGCCCCTTTGTACAATCCTGAGCAACAGGTCAGTGATTGGCCTACACACTGAGTAAAATGCCCTTTGGATTCCAACTCTGGCCTAGGAATTTTGTAATCTTTGGAAAATGGGAGGAGGATGGGGGGAAATGTGATACAGGAGTTTAACAAAGGTGATGGAGATGGTGCCCCCTCCTTATAAAACAAAGGCTCATTGGAGCAAGGACTTACGCTAAAGCTGGGAGTCCACAGTGCAGTGTGGCAAATAATTCAGCAGATGTTAGAATACTGGGACCACTCAGAAAGTGCAGAGAAAGATCAGCCCTTAGCTCTCCCATAGCCATTCCCCATTCAGCAAACAGAACCAGGAAAGGGATTAGACAACAGGAACACATAGGCAAGAGCAGGGTTTGTAATAAGTGAGTGCCATGTCCCTGTTATATGGCCAGCAACGAGACAGAGTAATGTAGAGTGAAGCAAATAATTAAGGCCTTGGAGGGCCCACAAATGGGTTTCGACTTCTTCCTTGAGAGACATGATTTTTCTATCATGAAGAAGTCGCAAACCCAGAGTTAAGAGAGCAAAACAGCAATTTTTAGGGAATGGATATTTTTTTCTCCCCAGAAAACTCATCCCCAAAGAGGATTTTAAAAAGAGAAAGTATGCAAGTTTGAAGATGGTTTATACCCCATCTGGTCAGAATAGCCCATGGATATTCTTCAGATGGACTACAGGAACCGACAGGGGTCCCCAGAAGCTCAGACTGGCTTAATAATATGTATATATATCATCCCTGTTGCTGTGCTAGCTAGCAGTTGTCATTCATAGAATGCTAATGTCTTCTGCCTCTTCAGAGCCTGCTGAGCATTCATGGAACAGAACTCAGCCACCTGGGCCATGGAACAGAATGTGCACAGCATGGTCAAACAGGACCTTCCAGAGCTTTGGCAGCCTGGTTCTAAGGCCATGGGTTCTGCCTTCAAATATCTGCTACAGAAAGATAAATCAAAGTAGCACTTGTAAACTGATGAGACATGACTCTGTTAGAAAATACTAATAAACTTACAGATGCATGGATCACTATCAGTGGCAGTTTGACCCCAGTGACCCTGAAGAGTTCAGATGATGTGGCAAAACCTGCCTCACAGCACTCGCAGCCACCTAAACCTCCTTCCCCTTCCCCTCAAGATGTCCAACCTTGCAGGTTTTTCAACTGACTTGCAAATGAACTCAGCACTAAGACTTGTTTGTAATAGTCTTCAAGATTTGAGATCACCTGTTACAGATTCTTTATTAATGCTAAATTCCTCTATTACACAAGGAAAGTGAGACCCAAAGGAGCTACCTGACTTGTCACACAAGAACACACTTTCAAATAACCATATCATTATTTAGAGGGCCACAACCAATCCTCACACTCTGGTTGAAATTTGCCACTTTCCTACCTCCAGCTCGGTTACATTTTAACACCGTGGAAACTAAATTTCTATCAAACCAACATCTACTTTTGTCTTAATTTATTGCTTCCAAATGGAATTGACCTTTCTTATTATAGACTCATAATTCTTAGGGGACTATGATGCTGACAGAGGTCTCCCTTTAGTTTTGGTGATACATGTCTTTACAACAAAAGGACGTTATTGTTCTTCAGCTTCTCTATTTTCATGACTTTTCTCCTAACACTAATTAGATGTATTTTCAGCCTGTGTTTTTCTAGCACCTGTCCGAGTTTAGTAGCCAATTCCAAAGCCTCTCTCCAATGTTTGATCAGTTAGCAGGATGACCAATGGAACTGTTCAGGTTATATATCCCTAACATTGGGTTAACACTTTTCTACTTCAGTTTGCCTTGCAGGACCGTGAAACTGGATTTGAAGGCAGGAAATACTGTCTTTTGTCACTGATAAAAGTCATTTAGATATTACAAAATGTA